GTGTGGACAAGATGGGAAAATGCTCTGGTTGGTCCCCGCTATGATGGAGTCAGCCACAGAGGTGCAGCGGGAGAAGACACAGGCCCGTCTCTCCTTTCTCCTCCCACCTCCATCCTTCCTCCCTGCCCCCCTCCAGCCCCAGATGCCACAGCTGATGTAGTTTATGTGCCGCACTTGAGAATACATTGGCCCAAATGAACTTTGGGATAAAGCGAAAGAAAAGCCGCTGAGACGTATGAGGGTCACAACAGGCAACGTGAGGGCTTACATGGCTTGTCCTGGAAGCAGCTTCCGCATGGACACCCAGTGTGGTCTGCCGTGGGCAAGGGGCCGGGACCCTGCATGTTGCCGGGGAGCAGCCGTGTGGCCGACAGGACAGTGTGCAGACACGGTTTATAACCTGGTGACCTGAGTGACCCCCAGCTGAGGCCATCGCAGATGCTGCCCTGGGTTTATAAAGCGAGCAATCGTAGGGCAAAGACAGTCTGCCTGGCTCTCTCCTCCCAGGAAGAGTCACCGTGTCGGAGACCCGCAGGGGCAGCTCTGCCCTGCGCTGTCGGGGTGCCGATTCCATGGCAGTGGGTTTGGTTTTGTTCTGAGAAAGGGCAGGCGGCAGTTGATAAGAAAGGAGGAAGGACAGACGGACAGACAGGCTAGGGTACATTCTCGAGTAAAGTGGGCCGCAAAGGGCTCTGGAGACCATTCCTGAGCTGAGCAGCCCCCAGAGCCCCCCGGGGTCGGGGGTCCAGAGTCAGCTCAGAGTGGGGGGGCAGGGCCCCTCCCCTCCAGCATGCTGGGGCTTGGGAGGAGCTGGGCGGGGCTGGAGCTGAGCCTGATTCCCGTGGCGTCCGCGCGACCAGACGGGTGTGAATCGCCTCGGGTGTTTGATGGCCTCCAGACTGCGGAGCAGCCGCCTTGTCCCTGACCGAGCAGTGTCATTACTGCCACACCGATGACTCATTGCTCCCACGAGGGAGGCCAGCTCAGAGAGCAGAGGAAACCCGGGCCCAGGGGATCCGGGCAGAGCCAGAGCCTGGCGATCAGATGGGGACCCTTAGAGAGGAAGGAGGGCTTGAGTAGAGAGGAGGCTCTTTGGCAAGAGCTATTTGAAGCCCTTTGTGTGTGCTTGCGCGCACACACACACACACACACTTCCATGGAGATGCAGGCTGTGAGGTCCAAACCATTGAACTAAACATAAGAGGCATTCCAGGCCGCAGCTGTGAACAGAAACCAGCACCAGCAACAAAATGACAATCTTCGGATTAGAAGTTGCAAGATGAGGAGGCAAGCGTGATTGGTTGGAGGCGGGGTGTGAGCTGTTCTGATTGGTCAGCTTAAATGCAGGGCTAGAAAGCTGTTACACAAGTCCACTATTTTAAACCAGGGCTGGGGAGCCATGTTTCTGCCAAGGGTCACTTGGCTATTTAGAGTATCCTTCTCAGGCCATACAGAATTAACCACTGTATTAAAATGAGCCTGCTGTAGTGGTCCCACATTTAATTCACTCCCCACTAGCGTGATGGCAGAGCCCTGTAGTGTAGCCGTTACTAACCCCCAAGCAGCAGTTCAATACCACCATCTGCTCCAGCAGAGAAAGATGAGGCTGATGCTCCTGGGTCCTGTAGGGTCACTGCGAGTCAGGAATAACCACTGGCAGAGGCTATGGGCTGAGGATTGTAGGGGAGCATCCTTTAACTCAAAGAGAAAGCAGCTTCTTATTCACAGCCTTTCAGCAATGGACCTGGGATACTGAGGGACCAGGGCACTGAG